TCGCCAACTTCCTGCTGGGAACAAAACAAGCACCAGGGGACCCATGCCCATGTTTAAAATGATCCTCCATTAACTAGCAGTCATCGTTTCTCCTTTCATTTTTAGCAAGCTTTCTTGCTTTCTTTCACATGACTAAAAATAGCATTTTTTTTGAGACTGTTCTAGCACAACAAAGTGTTTCTAAAAGAAATCAAGGAAGCTGAGTGGTCCTGAAAGACCTATTTGACATGTTATTTTTAGAATGGAAATTTAAGTAAGACACATTTAAGTGTATTTACCCCGTTACATCTAATCCCTCAGAAAAAAAAAAAAAAAAAAAAAAAAAAGAGCTAACTGGTAGGATGAAAGGAATAGTTTTTTCCTAAAAACTCTAGAAGTATTTTGATGAAAGCCAAAACAAGTTTGCGTGTGTGGGTTCGTGCACTCGGGTGGGGTTAAGAGGGTCAGCTCAGTGGGGAAGGGCACCCCAAGGGCAAGCTTAGTCCCGGTGAAGCCACCATGTTTGTGTCATTGGTCACTGGGAATCCCAGTGAGACCGCAGGAGTTCATTCCAATGACTAGACGTGGGACGTGGGATCCTGGTATGGGACCCAGAAGGCGAGGTCAACATTCCCAGACAGATGAGGGGAGAGAGAGTTCCGGAGTGCGTGGACTGTATGTGCCGGCAAAGACCCACCAGTCTGCACTAGTAGCAAGGGCCTGGGTGCCCATTCCAAAAATGCCCTTCTCTGAAGAACCTCACGGTAGTGTGGGGCACCAGGCCTGCACTCGGATGCCTACTCCCCTTAGCCCCCAGTGTTTATCAGCACACAGGGAGCTACCGAGCCACTCTACACACCATCCGCTACGTGGATTATCCTAAGAGCAGTTGAGTGCCCGGGCAGCGCACAGCCATAACAGATGGACCCACATGGGAAGTTCCCTGGTTCATATCCCGGGGCCTCCCTGTGCATACCACATGGGTGCACATATCCATGATCTAAGCTAGCCAAGGGGAGGGGTAAATTGCGACATGGGGACCCTTCCGGCGTTGCCTGGTTCTCTCTCTCTCACTGTCTCTCTCATGAAAGACATGAATGGAAACCTAAAACAAAGTGAAAGAGCAGCTTGTGTTTTATGCCTTTTCGAACTCACTCATTCTATTTATCAAATTTTAGAAAGTGTTCTGATTCAGTTCATCCACCGCGCGCGATCTCTTTGTACAAAATGGAACCGCAGACATTTTTGTTTATGTGAACACATCTGTTTCCTAGCCACGATGTCATCCGCTGGTTACTTGACAGTGTATTAGTGACCTGGAACTATGGCCATTGTCCCAGCCAGCATGCTCCATCTCTAAGGCATGTCAACTTCCCCCAAGTATCATCTTTCCTAGGACAGAAATGTTATTGAAAACAATTCTCTGATAACCTAGAAATATGAAAATATCCACAAGAAATAGCTCCAAATGTGCATACATATGTATACTTATGTGTGTGTATATGTATATATATAAATACATATGTGTAAATATATATGTAAATATATATATAATACACACACACACACATACACACTATATTTTAGAAGATTGCCACAAATTCAGATGAAGAAAGAGGAATTAAGCTTTTTTTTTTTTGCTATAGGGCACATGCGCTCGCCAGAGAGAGACAGAGAGACAGAAAGTGAGAAATCACCCCCCAGGGGGGATGGCCACACCGCAATCCCTTCTCCTCCATTCTCCTCTCGGGAACTTAAGCACGCACGCACATGCGCCTGACTTGAGTTTTAAGTCACCGGGTCTGGTCAAACCGCAGTCGACTAAGTGGGAGTCCAGCAACATAGCCATTACGCTAACTGCTGGTCCCAGAATTAAGCTTTTTTCATGGTATTTTCTAAGGAAAATAGGCTGCCTCATTGATTTTAACAACTTGTTTTTCATCTAATCAAGAAGCATCTAGGGAGACATCAACCAAAACGGTTTCCTTTCAATATTAGAGCAGGAGTTCAACACACATAACTTTGAGGACTGTGTTTTAATGAAATACCCCTTGTCAGTACCAATTTCATTTTGAAAATTGGGTGGGAATAATAAACAAAAAAAAATTTTTTTTTTTGGTTTGGATTTTTTTTTTTTTTAAAAGACCTGTTCTAGGGGCTGGCAGATAACATGGTGGTTAAAGGCGCTGGACTCCCACATAGTCAACCATGGTTCAAGTCCCGGACCTGGTGGCTTACTTTCTCACTTTCCCTTTCTCTTTCTTTCTCTCTGTTTCAATATTCCCTCTCTAGACAAATAAAAATAAATAAGTAAATAAAGTTAAATAATTCTTTTAAAAAAAAAGAGAGAGACCTGTTCTTGTCAGATACTTGTTACATTTAATTTTTAAGTCTTTATATCCTGTGTGGAAAAAAAAACCTGTCCTGACAACCTAATATTTGTTTCTTATATATACTATAAGGTTATTTGCCACAGGTGCACCTGGCATCATGTTCTTCTAAATTGTGATTGAAGGATCTGCTGCCTGGGAGCCACTTGGGGTGTGAAAGGTGAAGAGGCATTTTTGTTGTTGTTGCTGTTGTTTTAGCTATAGGGCGCGTGCGCTCACCAGAAAGACAGAGACAGACAGAGAGATAGAAAGCAAGAAATCACCCCCCAGGGGGGATGGCCACACTGCAATCCCTTCTCCTCCATTCTCCTCTCAGGATCTTGGGCACGCACTTACACCGGGTGTGAGTTTAAGCCACCGGGTCCGGGACTCGAACCACAGTTGACTACATGGGAGTCCAGCGACATAGCCATTATGCTAACTGCTGGTCCCAGGTGAAGAGGCTCTTAAGAGACGTTCTCCTGAGTCACACCTCTGTGACTGTGACCCAGGCACCCATACTAAGATAGCCCCGGTGCTTCTGATGCACTGAAACTTTGAGACATCGCCGTAGTGGTTAGAATGTTGTATTGCGTTCATGTTTATATTCTGGAGGTGCATTCC